AGCTTCATCTTTTTCCCTCCAACATGATTATTTCATCATTTATTTTATTTTTTTAAACCTTCTAACTGTATTTTATTTTATTTTTAAAGTAATTACAATTCATTTAGTCTCTTTTTCTTCTTCATATCTTCTCTCTCCTTGACTGAAAACAAAGATAAACCTCTGGATGTCCACTGATGATGTTCCTGGCCTCCCTGATGAGCTTCAAAAAAAAAAAATCAGAAGTTTTTTTTTAAGGCGTCCTTTAAGGAGTTCTAGTAGTAACATTAGCAGACTTACATTTCTGTATTTTAAAGTTTAGTTTTAATGTCACTTTTGTTCTTCCAACAGACATGGTTGTGCTCCACTGAAAATATAGCATATTTAAAGATTCTCTGTGTCCAAAAGACAGTGAGGAGTTAGAAAGATCTACAAGAAATAAAACACCCTAAAGAATTAAAGTCTGAAAGAAATTCAAGTTTTTTGTTGAAGCTCCTGTGTTGATCTTTTGGTTTGGTTCCGTTTTGGACCGTCTAATGTCTTTGCTGATCCTGTCCTGTACATGTGAAGGAGTGTTGTCTGATAAATAATCTCCTCGTGCTTTCTCATCACTTATTGTGAATCTTTGCTATGAGAGAAAAAAGGGTGTTTTTCTGTAGAGTGCTGCTCATCATTTTGTTTGACACTACAACCCCCGGCTGAGCTTTAACAATTACTATTGAACATTTGTTATACCATTTTTTAATCAAAGAAACAGTCAGTCTTGTTACTGATTGGCTCTTTTGCTTTTGTTGGCCGTTAGTATTCATTTCAGTCTGTTTCATGATCAGCTAAAGAAACTCCTGACAGGCGCTACAAAGACGATCTTACAATCCTTTGAGAAGTTTAAGTTTTGTAAATGGGTCTTTGGGTCTCTTTGGAAAGTGCTTGAAGATATATTCATGGTCCTGTGATCACTCACCGTGTTACAGGCAGTGGCGATCTTAGAGTCTGTTGGGGCCCCTCGGCAAAAGTCAATTGTAGGGGCCCTTCAACCAGCGTTTATGTCTGTCAGTGTCCCGACTCCCGACACTTCCTCCTCTTCCTCTTTTTTCCTGTTTCTTTTTTCTCTCCTACAGACGGATCATTCCTCTTTCATTGACAAACTTAGGTTTCCACAAATAATGCATGCGACCCTCTGCAGGGCAATGAGAGTGAGTGCTGTCAATGAGAGTGAGTGCTGTCAATGAGAGTGAGTGCTGTCAATGAGAGTGAGTGCTGTCAATGAGAGTGAGTGCTGTCAATGAGAGTGAGTGCTGTCAGATGGGGCTCCCTTAGGGAGGATTCCTACTGTCATTAGAAATGTGCACATCTTGGCCCGCTGGTTTGATTTAGGGGCCCCCCCTAGTGGTCTAGGGCCCCAAGCAGTTGCCTGCCTTGCCTGTTGACAAGCAGCCCCTCTGGTTACAGGAGACCTTTCCTAGCTTTAACATGTCGTCATCAGGTCGTCACACACTGATGGAACCGCCCACATGCCAGGACAGAAAGGCGTCCTGTTCTGCAGAGAAGTTATCAGTCTCAGTTGCCACCTCTTCTTGACTTGTTTTTTTTTTTTTTAATGAAAGACAGGTGTTCTTCTATTGGATGTTCTTTTACAGAATTAATCTGAGAAAGAAAGCCCAGAGAGGAGGGGATTCATGTGGATTAATGTTATGAGACGCTCCGCTGTCACTAAGGGAACAATATCACAAACGTCTCCTCATCCTGACATCAAAGACTGAGTTAACTTCAGGAAAATATTTCTGCATTTTAACTAACAATACTGCCCAAGAACACCGACTGACAGGTCAGTGGTACTCAACTGGGACCCAAAAGTGGGTCACGGAGCAATTTTCAGTGGGTCGCCAATGTATGCTCGGAAAAAATAGTTCTGTCAAAAACTTTATGGAGAGGGCTTTTAAAACATGCTTGTTTTATTCTGTATTTTTGTTCTGTACTGTCATGGTCCAAACCTCCACTTTTTAAAAAAATAAATAAATCTAATTAGTTGAAAAATATCTGAAATTTGGGTCATGATTTAACATTTAGGAGTTGGTGATGGGTCCTAAGGGTAGGCCAGTTTAGAACCACTGCATGGTTTAGCTAACATTATCTAGCTATTTAGCACTCACCTGTGCTTTGATGATGAATCTCTTGCCCTTCACTTCCCAAACAGCAGACCCAAGACACATCAGCAGTACATTCAAAGCTGTCTCTACTTTTGTAGGCTTTAAGGGGAATGATTCTCCAAGAACTATAACATCACAGAATTCAAGTTCTGTTAAGGACTTTGCTGTTTTTGGTGATTGAAATCTTGATTGATGTAGGAGGGTTGCAAGTACCAAAACCTTGCAGTTTATCTCAATACCTCAGGGTCTGTTTTTCTTTCTATGGTTTTCAGTTGATGTAAACATTTTGAAGAGATGGAAAACTTAAATGCCCGTACTGCAGTGTTCAATGTCCAGACTGAAAACTATGGATTGATCCTCAAAGATATCTTATGGTTTTTGGTCAGTGAATCCATGCCGAGGTTCATTGGTTCAATGTGAGGGTCTAAGGTCTTTGAGGAGATCTATGAAGAGGTCACGGGGGTCCCTCGGGAGGGGTAAAAGGTATTTTTTAGAACTTGGAGGAATAATGGAATAATGGGACCTTTTTAAATGTCCTAAAGACGGTTCAGGGGTGCTTGAAAAGCTTAAGTGGTCAGTAGACATTTTACGTATCAGTAAGGTAGTTTAAGATGATTTTTTTTAAAAACAGCTTCAAGGACCACTGAACATCCTTGAGGAGATAAAAGCTAAACTGAAAAAAACAATGACCTCGCTTGGAGGAGAACATTTAAAGCTCAGGTGTCAAAAAATGGAGAAGACAAAGCTTAAAAAAATTGTTTTTCTCCTTTGAGCATTTTGAACATTTGAATTTGAATATCAGTAATCATTTCCTGTCCAGTATAAAAAAAAGAACATCAAAATGCTCGGTCACAGTCGGTACATGTTGTACTTCATACTGTCAGTGCAGAAGTAGTTTGACTTGAGACACAGCGAGAGAGGATGAGTCAGACCAGGCGTGCTGACCATTGACCTCTCTGACTAAGTACTGAATTGTGCCGCTGCCTGTCTTATCCAGGACACTCTTCTAATCTCCTCATCCTGTATTTATACACAGGTAATACACTCTTGATAATCGCAACTAATAATCACAATGCAGCTTGGACTCAGTATGTGTAACCATGCTAATGTTAGCCACGCTCTGCAAAACTCTTTGGCAAACCATGTCAGTCCACAAGACAATTTTCAAGCCTTTAAGGTTAGCTGCTGTTTATTCTGAAATATCTGTCCAAATTCAACCCACATTGCACTGTTTGGTTTGGATGCATTCCCACCTATGGCATACTGAACTCTGGTGCCTGTTCACAAGCGGACCAGAGTTTTGTTCTTTGGTGAGCACCAGAGTTTGTTTGAGCATTCACTCCAAAACAAATCAAACCACAGTGCACCAGAGCACGTGTCAAACAAACTAAATATCTCAGGTGTGAATGCACCCTTAGAGACTTCTGTTTCAGATTATCTTAAACACCTCATTTATCAAACCAGACAAACACAAACAAATGATGTTGCTGAAATAAAAAAAAGATGCAGACACCAGGTTGGTTACAACTCTCTATATATTGCTAAAATTATTATTCTATTTGACAACATTGCAGAAATGACCCTTACTGAGATGGACCTGAGTTTTAAGAGGATGACGCTCTAATTCAAACCAGAAACAGCTCTACCAGTTCTCTAGTTCTTTACAGTGATGACGTTGTTCCAGTCTCTTCTTTAAATACATCTCTGCTGAGTCCCCCAAATTATTTTTTTTGGCTTTTAATGGAGAGAGATAGGACAGCGGATAGAGTTGGAAATCAGGGAGAGAGAGAGAGGGGAGTGACATGTGGGAGAGGGAGCCACAGGCTGGATTCAAACCTGGGCCGCCCGACTGGAGGACTCTAGCGTCCACACATGGGGCGAACGCACCAACCGCTACGCCACCAGCGCCCCAGAGTCCCCAAACTTCAACTAAACATGACAGGATGTTGCTGCTACACAGAAGCGCTTTGTCATGTCTGCAAAGGCTGCAAGAAAGAGATACTGTGTTTATTCTGTGAACATGTTCTGACATGGTTTGATTTCAGGAAGAAAGAAAAAAACCGACCCCCCCTCATATGAAAAAGAAAAATAGGTATTGCATAATCTCAAGAAAACCAAACATGAACCTGATATCTCCACAGCATTCTGTGTCTCTGTGTTCCTCTTAGGGTGCCAAAGAGAAACTTAAGAGAGCGTTGAAAGACAGGTTTCACGTCTGAAGCCAAAGTTATCTAAAGTCATCAACATGTTTTAGTCTCATTCAGTGAAGCTGTAATTAAATTATTCAATGATATGCTAAACTTGACAGTTTTTATGAATGAATGTAACAAATATGTAAAAGAAAAGGGGACCACAAACAGAAACACAATCTGTTTTATTTCAAGTATTTTTTCTTCAATAAGAGATCTACTACAGTTTGTATTAATTTGCTTTCTACGAAATAAAAACTGAAAGTTACAAGCGTGTGTATTTGTATCTGTCCTTCAGTTGTCTGATGTAACACCTTTCCTGTAGCCTACATGTTACACAGCAGGGTTTTTAAACTAAAATTAATCCTAAAATGGATTCATGTTCAAAGATGTTAAAAACTAATATAAATTGTTGATCGTAGTAGTAATAGTACCCGTATATTTAGTAGTTTCAATGTGATCAAATTTCGTCATTCCGAAGTGAAGTCATGCCTGTATGGACTCATTTGACCAACCTCATATTACATAAACAAAATCAACAGAAAACAGCCCGCTCTCATTGCTCCAACCAGATGTCAATCATAGGGTGGCATTGCATCACTTTGGCGTACACTCACCTGTGATTGGCCGGACGCTAGATTCGCTGCCGCCCCCTCGCCTCTGATTGGCTGATTCTTGACATTGCCGTACATGGTAAAAGAGATTTCGCAATCCTCTCCTCTCCATGTTCCAAACAAAAACACACAAGAGCTCACACAGACAGGATTTAACTTCAACTTTCTACGATTACTTTTGAAACTTTTGACGGATGGTTAACCCCACCACCACCCCGTGAAGGTAAGCTGTGTTTTAAACTCTTTGTCGGTCCGAAAAAAGGACAGCTAATAGCGCGGTTACGGCTTGTTAGCATCTGAAGCTAACTAGCTGGCTAGCTGCCCGGCTAAACAGGCAGTGCCCGGGCTTGTTTTAAGAAGAAAGTGAACACCAGTTTTCGACTCTTTTAAGCCCAAAAAGGTCAGTTATCAGCGCCTGTCTTTAAAGCGGGACGTCTTCATTGTTGTCGTGAATTATCTGTTGGCGGCTTTGAGTGAACAAAAAGTTGTTAAAGTGGTTTGAATGTTGTTATTTTTTTACTAGGATCGATTCCTACGGATTTGTTTACGCGACACGAGACATTTACGTGTGTTTTCAGTGTTTCAAACTTAATTTAAGTCATGTATAAACTCAGATTAGTGCTTAGCCTCGCATGACTTCGGAGTTCCCCTCTTTCCGCACAAAGAGAGACGGCGATGATGCAACAGCGAGCAACAGCCGGAGCTATGCTGGTTTTCACCCGGAGCGCTTTCCCCTGCGCACAGCTGACTGGCTGCATGGCAACGCGCCGACCAATCACCGCAGCGCCGCTAATTGGCCGTACAGAATAGTAATCCCGACCAATTAGCATGTCGGGAAACCTGCTGCTGCTGCTTGTGGATAACAGGGCGGAGGAGGAGGAGGAGGAGGGTGTTTATGAGCAGCAGTGGAGGTGGTGAAGCCTCCTGATTGATGGATTGAGGTCAGCTGAGAATCTGCAGGATGACTGCAGATGTTAAAAAAAAAAATAAGATGTGTGGTTCACTCACATGTCTGACAAGTACAGTTGACTAGAGAGGCCACAGATTATTATGTGTGTTCAATAATTTGCATCTAAATTGTGAAAACAAATGTGAGTTTTGACTTTTAATTGTTCATATTATCACTGAGGACGAATCTGAGGCCCGATTCTGCTCTAAAGGCGCGTTGCAACCAATTATTTATCCATTATGGTATCAGCGACTATTAAACACAAAAGTATACCATCTGTACTTTCACCTATATTATTTTTGGGTTTGTTGTTTTCCGCTGCAAAACAGGACAACTAGCTTAGGACGTTGAGCGTGCTTCATATTTTTTGTGTTTTTTGAGTTTTTGTGAAATCTCATGTCAGTGGAATCACCACTGCGTAATCGTTTCAACAAATGGAAGGTGTGTGGTCGCACGGTCTGGCTGAAACATCTATTTTTGTTGCATTTAGAAGATTAAAATGTTAAATGTTCAAAAATTGGTTGAAACTGTCCTTATGCCTGTGGTCTCCAACGTTTTTAAAAATCGGTTAAGATAGGAAAATCATCTAGTGTGTAGCCAGCCCTACTTGACCAAATCCATAAATTGTTGGTTATGTTGACAATGATGATGCACGTAGACCATTAAGAACATTTCCTGTAAATTATTAGATTGATGGCCCAGCAGTTTGAGATCTTCCTGAATGTTTTAATAACGTTGTCGTCTTCCTTTAGGCGAGACGAAGAATCCAAAACCTGCTTCCTGTAACCAATTCATCTCTACAACTGAGGAGACTCAGAGATCAGTACTTGCAGGCAGCAAATCCAAATGAGCCGGCTGTCGCAGGCGAAATTAAACACAGCTGACCACATCAGCGTGAGCGTCATCCAGAGTCAGGCCCACACCTCAGCTCCCTCCTCGTCCCTGACGGCAACCGTAGCCGGACTACAGCAGGTCCCTCAACTCATTCCAGCAAACCCTTCAGCAGGAGGTGGAAAGGCCCTCCCACCCAGCAAGATGAAGAAGCCCTCTGCAGACAAAGACAGCGACGAGTACCGCCAGCGGCGTGAACGCAACAACCTTGCGGTGAAGAAGAGCCGCATGCGCAGCAAGCAGAAGGCGATGGACACGCAGCAGCGCGTCAACGAGCTCAAAGAGGAGAACGAGCGGCTAGAGGCCAAGATCAAACTGCTGAGCAAAGAGCTGAGCGTGCTCAAAGACCTCTTCCTGGAGCACGCCCACAATCTGGCCGACAACGTCCAGCCGCCCACAGGTGCTGATGGCACAAGCCCCGCCCCAAACAATTCCTCCACCAATGGGCAGTGAGGGGAGGGGCCACAGAAACATTAGATTACTGGAGCTGGCTGCAGCTTTTCTGAAGATTTCTGTCAGTATGAAAGTTGGAGCCGCATCTTCTCCGCTGCTTTTTTTTCGGCTTACTACTTATTTTCTCGTATTTAATCTCCCCGCCTTCTTGACAAAACGTTCCACGATCCTCCTGGAAACTTGTTGTCCACCTTTCTGGGGAAAATTCTATAAATGCATTTTTATGACCTTTACAAAATGTGAGTTAGATTTTCATCAAAAAGTCTTTTTTTTAAGTAGTTAAAGTTTGTATCAGATAGGAGGTTATTTTTCAGATTCAGACCAGGAGAAATACACAGAACAGACTGATCACGGGAGAAATCAAACGGATTGAACATGTTATTGATCGACTTATTGGAGGAATGTGAGGAGATCCTACAAACTGAGACGTTGTACAATGAGGACTAACTCACTCTGGCGTCTGTGGGAACCAAAACATACCTCAGCCCGTTTCCTCTTCCTGTTGGCTCCTTTAAAAAATCAGACAGGCTGGATGTTTGACTTTCTTGTTGCACCGCTGCGTTGGCAGGATGAAGATGTTAACTATTGAAATTCCCTGTTTTTAGGATGTGTATTTTCTTCTGTTGTTCTACAAAGAGTTTTTATCATTACACGTCGATGTTTCGAGGACAGTTGTGGTCGTCAGAGTTTGGGCCGTCTTTCAATTTATCGTAAGACTCGGTATCAAACACATTTTAAATTTGCAGAACTTAATTTTTCAATCACCAGAGAGGGTGAAACTCTGACATCCAGCCTGTTCCTCAGAAAACACAGAATTGTCCTGTGCAGAATGATTAGTGTTTGAGTCGAGTATTTTTAATGTCCGAGTCGGTCTGTTAAGGTGGAAGTTTTATTTCACAGGCCGGGTCACTGGGTCAGGTTTGAGGCTGATGTATCTGACCACAGTTACAGCTCTGCACTGTATGAACAGCGGCAGCCCCCAAGAGTTAATAACATAAAGCAGTTATTACTGGTTAAATTAATCAGGTGTGACTGCTGTTATTGGTGATGAATAGTGAATCTTTACGAAGATTTAAAACTAAAAGAAACCGCCACTGATTGATCTACTGATTGTAAAAATATGTAAAGCTAGATTAATCGGACATAAGCTTCAGATCTGACTCCTTAAAGTTATTTATAGAAAATAAAAGATGAACAACAGCTCAGGTTTTGGGAGAAAAGCTCACCACAAACTTGAGAAAAGATCCAAGTTTTGTGTTTAAAAAAGAAAAAGTCAACTTGTGGCGGTGCATGTCAGTCCAGACAGGTGTAGATGTTTGTGGTCTGACTCTGACACCTCATGTTGTCAGACACTTAAAGCGAGCTGCAGCTTCAATTAAATCCAGTTTTGATCGTTTAGCGGCCTCTAATGAGTTCGGAGCAGATCTGGACAGGCACCCTCACCACAGCCCTCGCCTCTAAAGCGTGCCTCAAAGAGGGGCGTGGCCACTGCCTTTGTTGTTGTCAGACTTCATAATTATGTGAGCTTTGTGTAGGCGTGGAGTGTTTGTCTGCGAGGAGCTTCACCTCCCTGCAGGAATGCCGTCTGTCTGAGATTTGCTGCTCCGAAGCCGCTCAGCCGTTCCCACAACGTTCCTATAAGATTTCCAATCAGGCACTCGCAACTGTGTTCAAGCTCTGATCATGTTGCAACCATTTTAAACGTCTCGTTGTGATCGGATATATGGACTTAGTGTTTATGTTGCAACATTCATCCATAAATCCAGCAAGTGCACAGTGACCTTTTTATAAATCAGAAAACAGCATAAAGAGCGAATTGTGGGGAGAAAACATGAGGGTGATGTTCTGAACATGGTCTCTGAATACTACAGTACCCATGAGCCTTAGCTGCAGGTGCTGAAACAATAAAGTAGTTACCCTGCATTCACAGATCTTAAGTTTGGAAGAGCTTTAAGTCCACAATTTTAACATGTATACTGTAAGAAAATAATCACAATCACTCAGGACTAATCTTAGCCACCTTACAGAGACAGCAGCTCCAACCTTAGGAAAAATCAAAGTCCTAAAACACATCGAGCTTAAGTTAATGAAAACTTTCTTAACAGCATCCCAACATTGTTTGGCAACCATGTCCAGGTCGTTTTCCAAACTTTTCTCCGACTCCTGAAGTTCTTGTTGTTATGACTTTTAGAAACTTCAGGTTAATTCTTCACATTTTTACAGACACTACGTGAACGCAGGGTGACTGACTGCCTCAGAAAATGTTTCAGAATCTGATAATAAGTTAACATAAACTTCTGAGTGGTTGCTTGTTATTAAAAATGTGTCACCGTTGTTTATACTTGGTGCTGTTGGTTTAAAGTCCATAATCTCCACCTGTCAGTCAAAACAAGAAGAACCTCCTCCACAAGTTAAATTAAGGCATGTTTCTCTGCAGTTTTCCAATCAAGACGTTTCTCTAAATGGAACTGAAAAAGAATCGGTTCACAAGTTGTAAAGTTTTGACTGATATTGTTGAATATATATATTATATATTCTGAAAGTGATTCTCACAGCGACATCAAAATGGGTTTAAATAAATCAATAATTCATGGCACACTGAAAACGACTTTTCAGCATGCTGGGCGAACCTGAGGCTGTTTTATTCTCACAATAAAGTGACCGTAAAGTCATCCTGTGTGCCATGGATTACTGATTTCTGTTTCATATGTTCATGCACCTGAGATCTTAGGTTGGCTGTGCACAGAGCGCCCTGATGGTCATGAAGATCAGGGGTGAAAATATACTTCACAGATGATGTCATCAGTTGATTTAAAGTTGTTGGAAACCTTTAGTCGGGACGTTGTGGGGACGGTTAAAGCTGCACTGAGCACAGCCTGCACCTTTTTTCACTTTTCTATTGTTGTTTTTTTTTCTACACTTGTATTCCAAAAAGCAGCATGTTTATAGAGACGTCTTTGCATGATAGAGGGGAGGGGAGGGGGGGGCACTGTGTGCGTCTGCTAAACGTTAACTACACTCAGAGAAAAAGAATCGTTGTGTTTGTGGAGTGAATCAGATTGTCGTCGTGTTGGGATGTGTGTCATGTTCTGCTTTGGTCTGAATGTTGCTGGGCAGCATTTCTCTGTCGTCACTCTCGGCTTTTTTTTTATATCAGAGGAATCTGGGCTAACGTGCATTCTAAATTAAAATTGAGTACAAAAGTTAATCTGTGTTTTGAGTTGTATTTTCTTCTATTAAAAAAAAAATGTGTTTCTGTTAATGATCCTGCATCGGATGAAAGATTTAGACATCTTGAATATGTTCTCACTAAACTGACACCTGCTCATGAAGAAGTCAAAAGAGAAAACATGATAACCGAGATAAACAGACTGTAAATATGTTTTGAAGTGATGTCACCCATCTGTTCCTGCAGGGGGCTCCGGAGTCTCATCAGCAGCCGCCGCCATGTTGGAAATCCTGTCTCAGCCTAACTTTCAGTCAACCTAACGACAGGCTGAGAGCTGGAGCTGAGGCGGGTTTGAAGCCTCTTGACAAACCGTTACATCTGATGTCCTTCATTGATGCCCTTTGCAAATTTTCTTACTTGTATCCTCATCCGGCTTACTCGCCGCCTACCAAACAAGGGTACGGTTGGCTGTAGAAACGCAAACAGGTTCAGGTTTTACCGAACCAAACTGTGCTGAACCATATCGGATCGCTTGGTGGAAACGGGGCTAAACAGTCTACCGTAAAGTGACCCTGAATAAATAAAGTAAAACCTTCAATATCAGAAAAAAAATGGAATAGAAAGTTGGTTTAGCGTTTAATATGACTCAAAAAGAGAGGAACAAATCTTCCACTTTTGATCGATTGTCTCATTGAGTTGCACTGATTACAGTTGAAAAACATCTTCATGTTCAGAGTTTCTGTTCCTGACGGTCTGAAGCTGGTCTTACATCCTCCACAGACTCACATGGAGAAATGTTATTTGTCTTTATTCATTTGATAAAAATCACTCTCAGTACTTTAAAAACCTTTCATCTTCACAAGAGTGACTCCATGCCGTGGTCATGAAATACTTCAATAATTGAACAACAGAAATAATCCCGGCTGGAGGGAAATGTGAAGTTACTCTCTTTTTTTTAAATCTGTGTCTTGTCTTTTTCTCCTCTACTTGTTTTTCCTTTTTATGTGTTTTGTAACTCATTTTAATTTCTTTTATCCTAAAAACTTTCACTCAGAAACAAAACAAAACAAATTTAAAAAATAAAAAATAAATAAAAAGTTTAAGGGTAAAAGATCAAATTTATGTCAGTGTTTTAAATTTCTCTTCACTTGTTACTGGTCCTTGTGAAGGGTTAAATCAGTGTGCGTGTGTTCGTGTGTGTGTGTGTGTGTGTGTGTCTCAGACTGATAAGAACTTTCTGATGAGACTGAAATCAAACACAGAGCTGAATGTGCAGCTCGATCAGCCTTGACGAGCCAGCAACAGAGCGATGAAGGTGAATGATTGACACGATGACATCATGACCGCCCGAGCTCTTTTTTTTTTCATTTATAATGTGTGACGTTCAAAGGTTAACGAGCGTGCCCGTCAGCTCACAGTGTTCAAGGTTTTACGTCTCCTCCTGACACAGAACCAGTCCTCCCACCTCCTCTCCTCCCATTGTTCTCCCATAATTGCAGCGCTGCGTCAGCGTCTAAAAATAAACCTGAACATCATCTTTATTTAGAGCAGCTCCGAGTCTAAATCACTCAGATTACACTTAATCTGAAAATGAGCAGGAGAGCTGAATCCTCCACGTTTGTCTGTCTGCAGACGGAGATCGACGGCTTCACGAGTTCAAGATGATTTACACAAAAAAAAAATAATAAAAGATTTATTTATTTTGGTTGTTTCAGAGTGAAATATCCGTTTAGTCTCATTATTGATGAGACAGATGTCTGCATTGTCACATTAAAAGCAGATTAGTATTTCTGGCCAAGCCTGGAGCTATGAGGGTGCAAAAGGTTGCATTGCACCCTCATTTTAAATATCTGCACCCTGAATGTGGCCTGTCTGTTCACTGGCGACCATGTGCAAATTACGTTATTTTTCCTTGTTATTGCCTTTCACTGTAGCTGCACCCTCTGTAATCTCTGATGCGCCCTGTTTGATGTAGAACTGGGCCTGTTTCTGGCACAACTTCACCAACTGTACTATGGAGAGTGAAAGGCTTGAAGAGGTCAAAAAAGCTCCAGCAGCACTCGTAGTAGGAAGATCAACTTTATTAACTACATATAGATCAACGCGTTTTGACTTGTTGCCTTCATCAGGGTCAAGTGTTGCATCTTCACATCAGCCTGAAGAATTTCACAGAAGCCCTAAGTCGTCATGCATCCACACATTTTGCTTTATTTTCCCGTATTAGACAATTTAAGTTTGTTTCAAAGCACATCTGCTGTCACTCCTAAAGTTGAGAATAAAATGTGACATGTTGGATAAAACACTGCAGCTGAAGTGCTCACTAAATGTTCTGCAACCAAACAAAACAAGGAGCAAAAAAAAAAGGCTTAAAAGTTGCAGGGCGGGAGGGTGATATTAAATAAGGGGGAAGTCTCATGCGGAAAGACGCTGTGATCTGAAACAGAAATAAACAGTTTGCTTTTGAAAGGTTCGGTCCATTGCAAACCTTCACTTCTACCCCTCATCATCACCAACGATCCTCTGCTCTGATTGGTTTCTGATGGAGAGTTTCTTGGCCGTGTCTATATTAACCTCTCCCCCTCCCTCCCTTCCCCCCCCTCTGGTGCCTGGGGGAGAGGAGGTCAAGCTGAGGGTGTGCAAGGCAGTTTCAGTCCAGGAGAGAGCGAGATAGAGAGTGTTGCTGGCCTCCAGAAGCTCTGAATGTGAACGGATATTAATGTTCTGCAAAACGCGAGCATTCAGGAGTTATCAGGAACATAACTCAGCCTCTGTCTCTGTGTGTGTGCGCTCGCGTGCATTTCATTTTTGTGTATTTATCAACAACCAAACTTGTGAGTGAGAGCAGGACATGTTTAAAGCACTGGGAGAGTTTTAGGAGGCAAATACACATATTAACATTCAAAGTTGAATTTGTTAGCCAAAAGGCTATCTTCAGATTTTAGAATAGGCTCCCTGAGCAGAAAGATATAAAACAAGAAAGGAACAATAAATAAGGTGCATGTTTTGGTTGTTTGCCAGGAGGCTGAATGGGCAGCTGTGGGTCAGTGGTAGAGGAAGTATCTTAACAAGGAGGAGGTGTAGCTAGGGTTCGATCCCCAGCCTGCAGCCACATGTCCGATGTGTCCTTGGGAAAGACACTTTGCACTAAATTGCTCCCACTGCTGTGTCAGCGGTGTATGAATGTGTATGAATGGGATTAGTTAACACTGATGGACTCTTTACTCAGCAGCCTCTACCATCAGTGTGTGAATGTGTAGGTGTGACCTGCGGTGTAAAAGCGCTTTGAGTAGCCAGAAGTCGAGAAAAGCGCTATTCAAGCTCAAGTCTATTTACTATTTAATACCCGCCTCAGCTCTATCTCTTTAGTCATTTTCATAAATGGATTCCTGAAAATTTCTAAAGAATTTCAGGAGGACTGAACCTGAAATCCTCCTGACTTCCAATCGTAGCCGCCACAGTAGCTGTGATGACGTCACACCCCAAGTTAACCACACTCCCGTTACGATTTGGTAGTCTATCAAGCAACATGGACGCCTCTAGGAGTACCTCTGTTTTGTTAGCTAATACAAGGCGATAACAACCCACTACTTGAAAGTTTGCACATTAAAATAACAGATAGAACTTACATGATACTATCGATGATGTTATTACACAAAAAGCTAATAAACACAACAGTTGCAGCTTAAATGTTACCGTTGGTGCACGTAGCGCCATGTTGGATTTGAACTCCGGCTTCTGAAGGGTCTCCAAGTTTCCAAGTTGGAATGCAGACTTCAGAGAGACGTTCCTGATGATGTATCAGACCGGCAACTCGGAATTTCCGGCTTCCGACTTCAAATGGAACGCACCATCAGTCGTGTGTTATACAGGATATGGTATTGTCACACGACGATTGACATCACTCACATCCAATGAAAATGGGCCAATCAGATTAAATAATTATGTCAGAGAAAAAGTTGACTGGTGCTGACCGAAGCAGATTCAACATGTCGAATCGGCCGTAAATAGGCAGCCAGCGCAGACAGGTAGCGATGGAGCTGGACACACTAGGCCGACAATCTGTCCAACTACGACCGACGGCAGACGATCTCCTTGGTGCGTCAGGGCATCATGGAAGATACTGTAGGAGAGGCGGTGAAGTTCAGGCACAGAGACAAATAACAGCCCTGAGGTACGACGTGCCCCCTTTCTTTTCTCTGAGAGCCACTGAAAAGATTCACATCGTCTGAACATCACATCACTAATACTTTTCCTGTGCTGAGGGTTTGTTGCACATTTTTTTGGTTAAAATATTCCGTGCATGTTTGTGTTCTTGTTTCTGTCATAATAAGTGTTGATAGGCATGTTTTGGCTGTGGTGTTTATGGGTGTGTATGTGTGCGTGTGTGTGTGGGTGTGTGTATTTGTGTGTGGACAGTAAAACAGAGTTGTAGTGAACTTTCTCTCTTCCCACGATGTCTTGCTCTCTCTTCCTCTCCAGATGGGGAGACATGAAAACGTTGAAACTTCAAACATAAAAATGAGCGATGGCCTCGTCCTCCATCGCCAAGATACGTTTGTTTAAAATCCACCTCCTCCGAGAATCTGGCACCACGCTTCACTCAGGAACATCTGGAAATCATGTTCTCCGACTGTTTCCCTTTCTTCCACTTCTTCTTCTGCGTTTTACAGAGTGAAGCCTCTGAGCGACTGTCAGCAGAAGAAATGAGAGACATTGGTCTACAGAAACACATTTTTACTGACTTTAAAACTTCTCACATCTTTTACTTCAATGTAGAAAGTATTCAAATGTTAGAGGTAAGTAGTGCCTGAAGAAAAACGTGTTGAAGAAAGTGTTGTAGTACTGGAAATCGGCAGTCTGAGACCACTTTCTGAAGGTCTTGGTTCTCATCTTGGAATCGTAAGCATTTTTACTCAGTCTTGTCTCAGTCTCAGACTGGGCGGACTCCGGATTTTAAATCCAGACCGGTCAAGAACACCACTGATCTTTTTCTAAAAGAACAAGAGCAATTCATTCATAATTTGTTTTACTCCCCCCGG